TAGGAATTGCCAATTTTTTATATAAAATTTTAAACATCCATACATAAAGCATAGGTCTCAAATCCTCAAGTTCTCATGCCTCGGCTTTTCAGAATTAAAACATTAATAATGTTAAGTTCTTGAGCAACTTGTCAATAGTAAAAAATACTTCTGCACAATTTGACATTATCACAAATGATCGCATGAAATCCACAATATCCCAAAAAAGATTGAAAAAGTTGGACTTGTACATCTGGACCTGGAGCCAGGGGTGAGTTTGGTTCTATGGTTCGGTTTTTACCTTTAACCAAATGCGAATTAAATTAAAAGGTTAATTTTGATTCAATTTTATTTTTCAATATTTAAAGCAATGGTTTGTTCGATTTCAAGTTTTTTCAGTTTTTGTCAAAATAGTTTTGAAAAGAAACCTACATCAAACAATAATTGATAGCAATATAATATAAAAACTTTATTAAAAAAGAGAGAAGAAACAAATGTATTTTCAACCAAAATTTTAGGATAAAGGGTAATTATATATCATCTAAAAGAGTTTATGTACAAGTAAAACAAAAAAATAGGGGATAAAAAATGGGGCTATCCCAACATGGGATATGCCATAACCTGAGATCTATACAGGGCTTGTTTGGCACCCAACGGTTAGCGGTTAGCGGATGACGGATTTTATTAGCGGATAGTAAATAGCGGATTCGATCAGCGGGTTTGTTGAGCGGGTTGCAGAAAAATGTTTGGTAAATTAGCTGTTTGTTTACAAGCTACAACGGCTAATAGGAAAAAAGACCAAAAAGGACATATAAGTTTTCGCATGTGTTTTTTGATTAATTTAAATTTAGTACTATACTAATACGAGTATATACGTACATAATATATGTAAGTTTTACTTCAAAATTAACTAAATAAGAACATAATAATAAAAATTATTGAATTCATAGCTATTAAGAAAAATCAAAATAGAAGGATAAATAGCTTGAGATATCCGCAGAGTATTACAAAGTATATAGATACGTATTTACAAATTTCAATACCCATTCAAATCAATTGAGATCCAATGGATTGATCCAATGGATTATTCTAGAGGAGAAGAGTAATACGTGTATTTGAGATTTATCTGCAAGTGTCAATCCGGTGTGCGTTTTGCAGAGGAGAAATTAGAGAGGAGCACTGAAACAAGATTGAAACGGCAAAGGGTTGCAGCGACAACAAAATAAGAGGGCATTAGTGGAATTCAGTAATTGCTTCAAATCGCCATTCGCCAATACCAAAAGCAACACAATAATGGTGATCAATCTCACGGCATAAGGTATCAAAAAGCAATAAGTTCATGGGGGTAAATACACCATGTATTCGATCCTAGCAAAAACATCCTCCTCATGAGCTTTGGCATCATCAAATGTGACTGCATTCCGCACTCTCCATATCTATTACTCCCTCCGTCCTCTTTTAAATGTCCCATTTTACCATATTGGGATGTCCCTATTTAAATGTCTCATACCTTATTTGGTAAAGTTTGTGTGACTCAAAATCATTCTTGCGTTATTCTTACTTTATCAAATAATATCAATCACACAAACCCATTTTTCTTGAAATCCATGCCACCCTCTTACGGAGGCAGTATATAGTATAGATGAAGGCAATTCAGACTGTTTTAGCCTTGATTCCCGCACCCGCATGGTCCTTTTTGATCCACTTCACCGAGCTATTCAAGGTAGACATCTGTCTAGGCATTCCAATACATGCTCTGACCTTGCTCCAAATTGCACCTGTGAATTGACAACCAAAGAATAAGTGTGGTACCGTCTCCGGTTCACCCTTGCAAAAAGGACATATGTTAAACAAACCTAGCCTACTAAGATTATCATAAGTTGCAAGGCAATTGCAGAAAGCAAACCAAGTAATGAATGAAAACTTAGGTGGTATGTAGGCTTTCCAAATAAAGGGCATCCACACCTGTTTAGTACCCTTTATTCTAATCAATTCATATACTATCACTGTCCCAAAATTAACTTCTCTTTCGGTTTACAATGCTTGACTGACGATAAAGCAACTCGATCCATGTTCACACTTGGATTATATTTAGTAAATAAAATTTACATATTCAGAAACTGCATTAAAACCGCTACAAAGCTTGATCAAGAAAATTTAAATTTGATAAAAATTTGATATATAAAGTAAAATATTAGGAGTGATTCAAGTTGATCAATGAATAGTGTCTGTGAAGTTGTTTTTAGGACGGAGGGAGTACTTTGGAGGAGCACAATTTGCCATTGATAGCAAATTTGGAAAGACCTTCAATTGTGCTCCCAACAGAGTCAAATTTGGGGACAAGGAGGTCTTAGATGTACTTTCAATCAATGAATTAGAGAGTGCATATCTTTTTAGACTTTTTTTATATAATAATTAAATGCACAAGTTCATGTATGAAATATATACAACATTAGCTGAAGCTAAACTTTTATTTGTAAAAGTTGTATACACTGATTCATTTTCTTTTTTACTAAAAGTTTTATATTGGTGGTAAATAACTTATTCTACTTTCTGATTCTAAAAAAAACTTATTCTACTTTCTTTTTAGACGTAGGACAAATGTATATACTCCCTCCGTCCCGTAATTAAGTTCCTACTTTCCTTTTTGGAATGGTTCATATTAAAGTTCCTACTTCAAACCTTTCCTTATTTGGCAAATGATTTACACCAAAAAAGTGCCAAAACAGTGTCAAACAGTGTCAAACAATGTTCAAATAGTGTTCAAACAGTGCACTCCACAGTAAAGCCAAATTTATTTTCTTAATATGTGCGAAGTCAAACCAGGAACTTAATTAAGAATCGGAGGGAGTATGTTCTAAAGTTTCACGTTTTATGCTTAGTTGTTTGAGAATAGTTGAATAGTGTTTATGTTGTCTAAAGTATAGTTTAGATAAAAACATATTTCTTCTTCAATAAAAGTCGCGTGATAACAAATAAAAGTAACTAATAATATAACAATAAAATATCATTGTCATGCAAAAACAAGCAAAAATATAAATTACAGTTTAAAATATCAATATATTGATATTATAGAAAAAAATTAAAGTGTATATATATAAGTGTTTCACTTAATTAAGCCACAAATATCAAATGCCAATATCTTAAAAATCATACTACGTAATAAATTTAGTATATAACATTAATTTTCTAGAATTAAGAACTAAACAAAATATTATACATAATGATTAATAAATAAAATAACATATTTTAAAAGTTCAAATAAGTTTAGTTTTCTTAGAGGTGAAAAGCAAAACCAAAACCAAACCAAAAAAGTATGACTATGTTCGGTTTTTCATGTTACCTTTTCAAGTTCTATTGGATTGCCTTCACATGAACCAGTGAGAAGGAATAAATGCAAAAGATTTTTGTCATTCATTTCATCCAATCCATTTACTCATGATTCAATAATATATGCTTCGTTTGGTAGTTTACACATTAAATCTTTGCACGTGAAATGATTGCATGCAAAGTTTATGGAAACAATCATTTCGCATGTAAAATATATTACATTATTTGACTAATCTAAATGTGATATTTGTTTTTAATATGCAACAAAGGTGTTGCAGTGTTTTACAAAAGCATGCTAAGGATTTTACTACCCCTCTTACGTAAAATATTTTATATGCTATAATGTTATTATTTTTAAAAGTGCTCTATCAATGATATTAAATAATCAATCCAAATAGTATAAGCCTTTTAAGTCCTTACACTTTGCATACAAATTAATTATTATATCCTACCAAATATGCCCTATAAGATAAATAGAACATGGCTCAATTTGATTAAGATTTGTTAGATTTTTCACAAATTAAATAAAAGCAAGGTTTGAAAATTCCCAAAACAGGAGTACTTTTTTGAAGCTTGGACATAGAGACCCCTATCGGAGTTGCCGCCTGATCGAGCGGCCGTCGATTTCCAAAATCTGCCGAAAAGTTCCAGATCTGGTATGTAGCCACCCGACCTATTGCCGCCACCAGCCAGTCGCCAAAATCTGCTGCCGTAAGAAAACTCCCGGAATGCATATGCTATCATTCTGACGTTGATGTTGATCGCTGCTACTGCCGCCGATCGTTGCCCACCACCAACACACTGAGCCAGTTGCCCAAGAAAACTAGGGGTAAATTAATTAATTGTATTGGAGATATTAGGGGTAAAATTTTAATATTTACTCCTATTCAAGGAAGATTATGGATTAACTCCAATTTAAGTAAAAGTTGTATGTTTTACTAAATAGACTGAGGTTGATGTCCTAGGATTTTAGGAATGAGTAGAGGATGAGTAAGAGGGGTTTTAGACAATTTTATAGGCTTTCACTTTTCAGACAATTCAAAAAATAAAATTTGACATGGAATAAGTTATAGAGAATCCTTTTTAAATAGGACTCAAACAATGTTAAATTCATAAATAAGACTATCATTTTTTTATTTATAAAATAGAACTCATTCATTCCTATTTGAGGAAATTTTAATCAATTTATCTTTTAATATGAATAAATGAGTCCTACTTGAGAAATAAATATACTTGATCAATTTTTTTACACTTAAGATATTTTTTGGTACTTGAGAAATAAATATAATTGAGAACAACTTTTAAATATATTGATAATGATGCTCAACAGTCAACACTATAAGTTTACATTTCCAAATATTGGTAATTTATTTAGAAATTGTTTAATGTAATACACTTTTCAAAAATTCATTTGACTGCTTTTTCGATTGAATTTTTAGCTGAAATTTGGTATGAGTAAACTAGACTTAATGAAAAAGATTCTAAAAAAATTTTATTAAAAAATTCCACTTAGAACCCCCCAAATGATGATGATTGGACAGAGCCTCCTATATACAAGATAATTTGCATTTTGGTTAGTTCGAGGACTTATTTGCCATTTTCCCATATTTAAATATTTTCCCATATACTATAGTTGTTATAAAACGCACCTTCCTTTAAATAAATAGGTACTCCGTATAAGGGAGCATTTGCCACGCTTGTTGCAATTGCTCATTCAATCCCTCCACCGATGTCAACACAAAGGCTGCTACTACGCAAAACAAAGCCATTTCTGAATGCATCATCATCTTCAGCTGCTCCTCCATTTTCAGGGCCATCCCACTACTCGAATGAATTCCCAAACATAATTGCAAATCCTGTAGACACCTTCTTGGTCGAGAAAATAATGTGGACTCTCAAACAAGGTACGCATCTTCGGAGTTCCCTGTTTCTTCGCCTAGATACATCGGTTTATCTCGAAGTTATTAGAAAATGTAGCGATAATTTGCCTTCAGCTTCGAACTTTATCGATTCTGTTGCTTCAAACAACCCCAATTTCAAGCATTCGTCCACCTCCCTCAGCGCTGCTGTTCAAATACTCGTTAGGTGCAAGAGAATCTCCGAAGCACAGGCTTTGATACTGAGAATGGTGCGTAAGAGTGGCGTTTCTAGGGCCGAGACGGTTGATTCCATGATTTACACTTACAGTATGTGTGGATCGAATTCGTATGTTTTTGATTTGTTGATTAGGACTTATGTGCAAGCTAGGAAGCTGAGGGAAGCTGTAGAAGCATTCAGGTTGCTGCTTAGCAGAAGGCTTTGTGTTACTATAAATGCTTGTAACAGTCTTCTTGGCGGCTTAGTGAAGATCGAATGGGTTGATTTGGCATGGGAAGTGTACAGGGAAATGATCAGAAGTGGTGTTCCAGTTAATGTGTATACGCTCAACATAATGGTTAATGCATTTTGTAAAGTCGGGAAGATTGAGGATGCAAAGGTGTTTATTGATGAAATGAAAGAAAAAGGGATTTTGGAGGATATTGTGACTTACAACACCTTGATTAGTGCATATTGTCGCAAGGGTCTTGTAGACGAGGGGTTGGAATTGATGAACCTGATGTGTCTCAGGGGATTGAAACCGTGTTTGTTGACCTATAACTCAATTGTTAAAGGACAAGGACTATGTAAGAAGGGACAGTATCAGAAGGCAAGGGATGTTTTGAATCAGATGGTGTGTAGTGGGTGCAGCCCTGATACTTGTAGCTATAATGCATTGCTTGCTGAGTGTTGCAGAAAAGATGACGTGTTAGAATCTGAATCCATTTTCCAAGAAATGGATCATCTTGGTGTTTGTCCAAATTTGGTTAGTTATACTTCACTAATTGGGTTATTTTCAAGAATTGGCCGCATTGATCGTTCATTAGTGTATTACGAGGGTATGAAATCTAAGGGGATTGTCCCAGATAATGTAATATATACCCTTCTCATTAGTGGCTTTTGTAGGAACCATTCTATATCTGAAGCCTTAAAAATGCGTGATGAAATGTCAGTTCTAGGTTTGGCCATGGATGTAGTCGGTTACAATACTCTTTTGAATGGCTTATGCAAAGAAAAGATGCTTACTGAAGCCGACCTAATTTTCAAAGAGATGGTTGAAAGGGGTGTGTTTCCCGATTTTTGTACATTCACGACACTCATAAATGGATATTGTAAGAATGGTAGCATGGAAAAGGCACTCTCACTATTTGATTCTATGATTCAAAGCAATCTCAAGCCAGACGTGGTAACATATAACATCTTGATTGATGGGTTTTGCAAGGATGGTGATATGGAAAGAGCTTTTGAACTAAGAGATCATATGATATCTGAAAATATACATCCAAATTGTGTTACATATAGCATTTTAATAAATGGCTACTCCAACAAGGGTGGTGTTTTTTATGCATTGAGGTTGTATGATGAGATGGTTGGTTTAGGAATCAAGCCGACCGTGGTCACATGCAACTCCCTTGTTAAAGGATATTGCAGATATGGTAATGCTGAAAAAGCAGGAGAGTTTCTTGCTAAGATGCACTCTGAGGGAGTGTTTCCTGATTTGGTTACATATAATACTCTAATACATGGTCTAATTAGAGAGGAGAGATTGGACAAAGCATTGCGATTAGTTGATGAAATGGAAAATCACGGTATATTACCTGATGTGGTAACATACAATGCCATTCTGGGTGGGTTTTGTAGGGCGGATAGAATGGAAGATGCCAATTTGGTATACCTGAAGATGATGGAAAGAGGAATAAATCCTGACAGATCAACATATACATCATTGATAAATGGATATGTTTTGCAAGACAACATAAAGGATGCTTTCTCGTTCCATGATGAAATGATCACAAAGGGGTTTGTGCCAGATGATAGGTTTTAACTTTTTTGTCACATTCAAGTTGATAGTCATATTCAGTCATCTGTGCACCCCATACATTGAGTTTTCTACCGTATTCTTCTGCCATTCCAGAGGCTTTGTCCATGCTTTTTTTTAAAAAAAGCGCTTTATTACACGATGTTAATAATGAGAGAACTGGGTATGTTTCACCAACTTATTTGTATATATATAGTGCCTTTTTATTGCTTGTGGAATTCTCAATTTTTGCTGAATAAAACTCTTCATTGTTCAATCGTTGCTAAATGCTGACCAACAAGGAAATGTTCTCTTTGCAGGGATCCCCAATGTTCAATCACTGATGAATGCTGGCCAACAAGGAAAATGTTCTCTTTGCTTGGATCCCCATGATGAATTGCGTCTTTGGGATTGTTGAAGTCCCTACGGGACCTGGTAATATAAATTTACTAGTTACTATTAATTGACACATCATTCAAAATTCTTCCCACCAATTTTTGGAAATATGCTAAATTTCAATTTAATCCTTTGTAAGGGATATAGCAAGGAAAATGCTTCCTGGGACAGAACATTGGAAATGTAAGGTCATTCTTATTTAAAAGCAACGTCTTAGAGATACCTTGACAAACCCAGGGAAAAGTTTCAGAAATTTACACTGCATGATGTAGTTGTGACTTGTGAGTATATTATTTTTTTGTTGTTTTAGTTTTAAAGTATTTGCAACCTTGTAATGTATAGGGGACAATCGTTCAAATGGGGATCTATGATAGGGGTATATTGAGTTATGTCTTATGATGGAACCATGTTTGATGTTATTCAAGATGGTCATTTTGGATGTTTTTAGTTGGACGACTGGTTTCAATCTCTAAGATCAGACAAGACCAGACTTAAGCAAACTAGACCAGACACCAATAGTTGTTAAATACAAAATACACATAGAACATACATCTACCAGACCAAAACAAATTAGACTTGAATAGACTAGACTAGAAGATTTCAGTCCAATTAAAAGCATCCTTAATGATCATTTAGAAAAAAAACTGTGTTTCCTTTTGGCTTTTGCTCAAAAGAACAACCTGTTTATCACTCATAATGTTTAGATATTTTTGTTTGAGTCATCTACCAGCTACCAAAGAATATCATAATTGTTTGTCAGCAACAACTGAAAACAAAAGAGCTTGTTGTGATTGATTTTTGTCTCTATCTTCCAACACTTGGTAAGTTTCTATAAATTACTGTACTCCTTTATTGTTGAAATATGTGTTTTTATACTTGTAGTAGTATGAAAATGTCATCTTTAAGCTGTGTAGGCAGTGTAGCAAATCTGTTGATACTTGATATGGAAGGAGCTTCAATAAAATAAAAATTTGATGCAGGTAATTTTCCAGTACTTCATCTTACAAGGATTGCTGTCCTAGAATATTGAGGGTTACATCTTAATTACAGTAGGTATATTGAAAGGAAGGAACAAGGCCTACTGAATTATTAGGATGAGTAAAGGAACGAAGGAACAAGATAAAGTTATTATGTGGGGAAGTTGAAAGCAGTTGATATATGCTACAGATGGTGAAAATGTTGAAATCCATGTCAATACTTCTGCATCAATATGCCAATATACATATATTTTCAACAATCCTAAAATATTACGGAGTGTCAAGTATAATAATACGTAGTATTGATAATAATAGTGGTAATGATGATGAAGATGATGATGCCATATAGGGTACAAAATAATCCTATCCATATTAGAAACCATTAAGTAGCATAGTGTCTAATGTCTATTGCCCACACTATTGAGGTTAATTCAATAAATCTACCAAAATATAGCCCAAGAATGATAATAATACTAACTTACTAATAATAATAACATTAATAGTACATTTTTTACGTGAAAAATCGAAATGGTGAAAATTATGAAATCTTTTTGTCGAAATCCAAGTCATCTCTCTCTTTTATTTATTTTGCCTCACCATATTACATTGAGAAAGAACCCCCCTAATGAGGGTTGAAACTACTCTAGGTGGGGGTGTATGGAGGAGAAGAAGAGAAAAGAGATCCCCAAAGTGAAGAGAGATCCTCCTATTTTTAGAAAAAAGAGGAACTGAGGAAGTACAGTCTTACAATAAAGGGCCGAATTGCCGGGCTATAAGCCTATAACCTGGGTAGGGTATTGGCTACCAGTAACGTTGATAGGCTAGGACTCAATATCCAACATCAACAATACTCGATCATGTTATACTTACACTTCTACACAAGAGAACATTTCATGTAAGAACATTTCGTCTTAATCTTATTACTTATTGCTTATTCTTATTTTATTCAGATCAGATCAGATCAGAAAAATTCAGATCAGATCAGATCAGAAAAATTCAGATCAGATCGGATCAGAAAGATTCAGATCAATCAGAATAATTCAGATCAGAAACATTCAGATCAGATCAGAAACATTCAGATCAGATCAGGAACATTCCGATCAGATCAGATCAGGAACATTCAGATCAGATCAGAAAAGTTCAGACATGATTTATCCCTTTTATTATAATATTAATTATAATAATATTAATGATAATTATAATAACAATAATAATAATTATTATTATTAATTTATTATTATTATTATTCTTGTTGTTATTGTAATTATAATAATAATAATAATAATAATAATTATTACTATTATTATTATTATTATTATTATTATTATTATTATTATTATTATTATTATTATTATTATTATTATTATTATTATTATTATTATTATTATTATTATTATTATTATTATTATTATTACTACTATTATTACTACTATTATTACTACTACTATTACTACTACTACTATTACTACTACTACTATTATTATTATTATTATTATTATTATTATTATTATTATTATTATTATTATTATTATTATTATTATTATTATTATTATTATTATTATTATTATTATTATTATTATTATTATTATTATTATTATTATTATTATTATTATTATTATTATTATTATTATTATTATTATTATTATTATTATTATTATTATTATTATTATTATTATTATTATTATTATTATTATTATTATTATTATTATTATTATTATTATTATTATTATTATTATTATTATTATTATTATTATTATTATTATTATTATTATTATTATTATTATTATTATTATTATTATTATTATTATTATTATTATTATTATTATTATTATTATTATTATTATTATTATTATTATTATTATTATTATTATTATTATTATTATTATTATTATTATTATTATTATTATTATTATTATTATTATTATTATTATTATTATTATTATTATTATTATTATTATTATTATTATTATTATTATTATTATTATTATTATTATTATTATTATTATTATTATTATTATTATTATTATTATTATTATTATTATTATTATTATTATTATTATTATTATTATTATTATTATTATTATTATTATTATTATTATTATTATTATTATTATTATTATTATTATTATTATTATTATTATTATTATTATTATTATTATTATTATTATTATTATTATTATTATTATTATTATTATTATTATTATTATTATTATTATTATTATTATTATCGCCACCGCCACCGCCACCGCCATGATTATTATAACTAGTGTAATACATATAATAATAATTATACCTATTATAATTATTATTATAATTATAATTATAATTTTTTTTATAATTAAGATTATAATTACATTTAAATTATATATGTGTAAGTACATTTCTAATTATAATAATTAAAATTATAATTATAATTTTAGAAATATTTAAATCAGATCAGATCAGAAGGATTCAGATCAGGAACATTCAGATCAGATCAGGAACATTTAGATCAAATCAGAAAGATTCAGATCAGACCAGATCAGATCAGATCAGAAAAATTAAGATCAGATCAGATCAGAACTTAAAAAATTCAGATTAGAAACATTCAGATCAGGAGAAGAGAACAGCTTCTAAGCCAATTTCATTTTTAGCCAAAAAAGGATTTTATAATCCAAATTTGCTCATTAGCATCAACTATTACCTTTACTCACATTTATCAAACAATTCATGTTTCTTTCCACGTTAAATGACAATTTTTATGATGATTTAGATTTAAACTATTAGATCTGTGTTAAAGATGAAAAATGAGATGGTAAGATTCACCCTTTAACCAATCTAGATCTAACGTTTGGGATTAATGGTTAAGACTAATAAGCAAAAAAGGACCATTAATTTTATTCTTATTAGAAATGGAATTAGACAGATGGGGGATATAAGAATAGTTCTTTCTCTTTTTAAACTAAATATATCATTATGCTCAACTAATCGAAATAAAGCCTAAACTTAAAAAATTGGCCAAAGGATCAAATTGATCCCTGTACCCGTCCGGAATTCTCAATTCGCACCCTAAACCCTAAAAAGCTCCAATTCATCCCCTGAACTCGACAAAAAAGTTCAAATCTCATTTTTTGTAGGTGAACGTCTGGTCACCACCACGTCACCCAGTCAGATGTCAACCGTGCATCCCACGTGGCAATTTAAGGGGTCAAATAGGCCCCTGAACCCGACAGAGTTGTTCAATTTGCTCCCTCAACCATTAAAAAGTGTCAAAATTGCTATTACAAAATAAAAAATTTAAAAATAGAAGATAAAATTATATAATAATATACAAGTTCATAATGTAAAATGTAGATGTCTATTTGTAAACTAATAAGAAACTAGTTCATAAACGTTCACCTACAAAAATGATATTTGAATTTTTTTGTCGAGTTCAGGGGTGAATTGGAACTTTTTAGAGTTCAGGGTGCGAATTGAGCATTCCGGACGGGTACAGGGACCTATTTGACCCCTTAGCCTAAAAAATTTCGAAAATGTTCTATTGACAATGTTTTATATTTATTGATATACATATATACAAAGTATGTATTAAAATATGTGCTCTAATATGGAATTAATCAGTAGGAAAAGGTAAACGCAGAACTTTTAACGATTTTCAATCTACCATATAAGCAACTTGCTATATTAGAAAATGTGTTATAAGTACACTTTGTTTAAAAAATTGATTAACCAACTATTTAATCCGTTTTTGAGTGTAATTTTTTTTTTTTGAAAAACTAAGAAATGGTTTAAATTTAAAATTTAAGAACATCCAAATCCATACCTTTTTCGCTTTTGGATTTATTCATATATTCAACATCGATATTTCTAAATGATTTCACATTATAATTTTTTCTTATTTTCTTACCAAAATCCCTAGTTTTTAGTATTTCGATCTTTTTTAGAGCCCGTTTGGTAGCACGAAAATCGGCTGTTTTAGTATTTCGATCTTTTCTTACCGCATTTCACATATCTGAATGCGGGATATAGTGAATTATGGAAAATTTGATTTTAAAACATATTTTATTTATAAAATAAATAAACATTTTATCTGAAAAAGTAGCTACAATTTTCGTTTATAACACAATTCAGGCATAACATTAACTTGAAGCTTTCTTATTTTGATCATAACACAATTCAGCTCGCGAAAATAAAATTTAAGTATTTGATGAAAAATTGACTGAATTTGTCCATTATCCTTTTTTCGAAAATCTATTTATATTCAAAGTGTTATAACCTTTTCATCTAAACTCCAACTTTACAAAACATATTAAAATTCATCATTCTTGTAACGTTTCATATGACAATAGTATTGCATATAATTGTTTTTGATTATTTAATAAACAACTTCATGTTTTTCAATCACGATATAAATTTAAACATAATTATAAATAATTAATTTGATGTGTTTCTTATGAGTATACTTTTATAGTCACTATGATATAATTTTAAACATAATTATAAATAGGTTACTTAATAAAGCTTCAGATTTTTTTATTACTCCGTATTATTTTATATGCAATATTGGTCTCGTATGAAAGATCATAAAAAGTTATGAATTTTGATATATGTTTTTTAAAAATTAGAGTATTTATGAAAAAGTTATGACATTTTAAAGAAAATGGGTTTTTATATGATGGGCCCCATCAATTATATTTCTCTCCAAGCTTACATTTCCTTGTTGGTGCATATAGTTCGGTTCTCTTATTAATAGAATTAGCCACATGGCATCTTTATAGCAAATGAGTAAAATGTGGAGAGAAGGACACATAGGATTTTTCCTAAATTAGTGTTAAAAGAAAAATTAATTACCAAAATAAAGTTGAGTTAAAATTATTTACCAATGTATTGCTTGTTTAAACTATGGTTACTAGAAACGCCAACTGGAATGGCGACTTTCCCTTGGCAACACGGAAAGCCCAGGGAAGAGAGAGCCGTCATTGTGCAGGAGAGAGAATTGGGGTGGGAGACAAAAGATAAAAAAAATCCCATTTTCTTTAAGCTGAAATATCTTTTACATTTTTATTCCATTTTTTTTTAAAATATATACCAAATTTCATAATTTTTTACGATCTTTCATATGACACCAATATTAGATATATAATGTTTTTAAAAAATCTGAAGACCATTTGCACCCATGCTTTATCACTAAACATAATTGTAAATCATATTTTACAAAAATGGGAAGATCTAATTTGTTGATTTAAGTTCAATTTTTTTAATAAATAGATCCAAGTGTTAAAATTAAAATTTAATCATTATATTTTTAATTTGTTCATGTTTATTTTTCATCTGAAGTAAAATAAAAAATATACTTGCCTGATGAGATTAGTTGATTGATGACAACAGATTTGGTTGGCTGTTTTGATTAGCTGATAGTATTACCAGTTTGTAAAATAATGTTTGATAAATTGACTCTTTACTACCAGCTGAAATATTAAATGTTTTTAAAGACATCAATTAGTTTTTTGGGGAAAATAACTAAAATACCCCAAACTTTGAAACGGTATGACGTAAGTATCCCAAACTTGCATATGTAATTTAAATACCCCAAAATTTATGTAAAAAGTTATTTTAGCACCATGATCATGCATTAGTTTTTTTCAAAAATGTCATTTTTTATGTTAATTTCATAATTTAAAATATTTTTGCATTTATGAAGATACAATTAACATTCTAAACTTCCATTGTAAAATAAATAGTATTACACCCCACTCTATCCAATTGCAACGTTTTCAATTTGTTAATTTAAATAATGCAATTAACATCATAAATTTACATTTTTGAAACAAATCATACATGACCATGGTATTAAAATAATTTTTATATAAAGTTTGAGATATTTAAATTACATATGAAAGTTTGGGGTGTTTGTTTCACACTTCATCAAAGTTTGGGGTATTGTAATTATTTTTCCCTTAATTTTTTGGTTGATAATTTTTTGGTTGTTTAGGACAAAACACTAAGTGAAAAGCCAATTAACCAAACACCTCAATTAGCTGTTTCTTTGGTCAAAAGATCAAATAGTGGTCAAATCAGCCAAAAAAAGGCTGACGGGCTATTAACCAAACACTCTCAGTAAGTATGTAACTTCAACCAACATAGCCAGAAAATAACATCAGTCTTACATTTTTTTTATTATTACACAATTCAACGCGCGAAATAAAAAATTACGTATTCGGTGAAAAAATTGGACGATAAGCCTGATAAGACGAAAAATTTGATCGCCAAACGGGCTCATAAATTTTTCCATTTGTATTTGTTTATGAAAACTTTGAACCAAAATTGTCAATTCGGGTTTTCAGATTTTTGTAAAAAATACTCCCTCCGTCCCTAAATGTTTGTCACTCTTTGACTTTTGCGGTTTTCTAGGTAGATGCAGGGCCGGCCATGGGGGCATGCAGCCTAGACAATTGTCTAGGGCCCCCAAATTCTATAGGGCCTCCAATTTTTAATGTAAGCCTATTATATTATAATTATATATAAAATAAATCATTAAAAAACTTAAAAATCTTCTAACGAGTAAGGCAGCGGCCAAAGACTTGATGACACACTTCCCGACTTGGAGTCTTCGACCCTTCGATTTCTGCTTCGCTGCTTGGCAATCGTCAAATCCCGACAATAGCCAATAGCCGGCCCCTTTTGCAATTCTGCCGGCACAGACCGCAGTGGCCGTTGGCCACAGACATCAGCAGTCCGCACAGGGCCTCCGGCTAAAGGTACGTGATGGTCTTGAGGTCTTAACTCTCTTTCTGGCAGTTTCAAATGATCAAATCCTTCAATCATTGATAGAGTTTGATTTACGTAGTACTCGTATCTTTTACCTTGAATTGCTATTTTTTTACTAGTTAGTCGGTTAGGCAGGTTATAGGCACTAGGGGCTGTAGAGCCTAGGCTATTAAGTATTGATTGTATGATTGATTCTATTACTCTATAAACCAAATACGTGGTATTAATAATTCAATTTAGTATTTTATTCATTAACACTTACTGTATATTTGTATAATTTTATGTGTATTATTGCATATTGAAAGTTAGAAAAACTGTAGCTAGTTAGAAATTGTATGAAGTTGTAGACTTATTATGATGATAGAAAAACGAAAACATGACTTGGGATGTACAAAGAGAAAGAACAAATTAAGAAAGGGCGTGATCATAAAACCGTTTGCCGACTCTATGCATAAGAACACGATATCAAAACTTTCTCCCTCAAATATTAACCTCTCCCTCAAATATTGTTGATGAGAATGAGGCTACAAATGTTGAGGCCAAAGTAAATGAGTGTGAGGATGTAAGTTGTCACAATAGTGACACAATTGTAGGTGATACAAATTGAGTGCACATATGGGAAATGAAAATGACACTTTCAATGATGGTAATGAGAAATGGTCTTTAAAAAGCTAGAAGAATAGGATATTAGTTTTAATCCATGTATTTTTTTTATCAATTTTGGATCTTTTGCTTTCGAAGAATACCCTCTTTACGTTAATATTATATGATGCATTTCATGTATAATTCACTACTATTTCATTTGATATTCTAGTTTTTATATTGTTATATTAAATTAAATATATCAAATCAAAATGTCGATATGATCGTCTAGGGCCTCATAATTGCTCTAGACGGCCCTGGGTAGATGTTTGACCGTAATTATCTATTAATATATACCTATAAAATCTATAATACATTGACATTTGAATAATACATATTACAAAGAATCACATTAAATAATTTTTTTCGAATACAATATAATTAATTTTGAGTAATTAGCGATCAAAGTTTAACAAGTTTGACTGAAAAAGTCAATAAGTGACAAACATTTAGGAACGGAGGGAGTACTAAGTTTGGAATTATGTTTATTGACGGATCATGGTTGTCACATGCCTTTTCATCCCCATATGGTCTTTTTTTTATATATTCGATATTAGTCTTAAATGAAAGATCATAAAAAGTTATGAAATTTGATATATATTTTTAAATATTTCAAACAAATATGTAAAAGATAGAGCACTTTAAAGAAAAAGTGGATTTTTTTAAAGTATATATCCCACGTGGCCACCTTATCCTCCCTCCTCTGGCAATAGTATGTTTCGTTTACGTACTACGTACGTACGCTGCTTTCCGTATTTGGAAGGATTTTCCTAACCCTAGTTTGTTTAGCAGTATTCTCGTAAATAATTTTAACCTCACATTAGTTTCGTAAATAACTTATTTTTTAGCATTAATTTAGAAAAAAACTCATTAATGAAGAGTGTAATTGTCTTTTGTAGAGTTATTTCTTTTCTTATATATAAATAGATAAACAGATTAATTGTTAAATAAGTATTATAGGTAAAACAAAGTCAGTTTGTAGAGTTTATCAACAAATGAATTTAAGATTTAACGGTTCAAATTAATAATCAATACTAATCACTACCAAAATCTAAAACATTAAGTTTAGTTTTTGGCAAAATAGTAATAATCTCATCAAACATCAAACAAATTTTGATTGCTTCTACTTTAATAAAATGATTTTAAGTGGTTTTAGAAAGAAAATATTTAGTGGTAAAAGTTGAGAGTATGTGAGAAAAAATACTTTTGAAAAAGTAAAGTTATGTTTGATAAAAATGTTTTTGCCTAACGCAAAACAATTCAAAGCATTCCACAAGTTTCCATTTATATCGCTTTTAAATGCTTAATTTAAGCAAAAATTATCATCTGAAAACAAATTTCAACTTTTTAAGACAAAAGTTGAATTTTCTTTTCTTTAGAGTTTTAATAAACATTCCCTCACCTCATCGATCTGTACCTTATCTATATATAAAAGAGAAAACTATAAAATAAGCTCCCGTATTATATCAAAATAGTCAATTAAACCCTCGTACTTTGAAAACACTCAATTAGATCTTCAAACTATTAAAAAAGTTCCAATTACGCTTTTTAGCAGGTATAGAACCGGTTACCGGTTAGTTGCACACGTGGCTAGCCAGATGGCATTTTCCCTCTTTGGTTTTTTTTTCCTTTTCTCTTTCTCTTTTGGTTCTCCACCCTCCCAGACTTCCTCCACCTTCCCCGTCATTCCCCATCTTCCCATCAATGCCCGATGATCACTCCTCTTTCTCTTTCTCTTTGTCTTTGTTTTTATTTTTTCCTTTTCTTTTGATCTTTCTTTCTTTCCTTTGGCATGAGGAGACAAGCAGAATAGCCGGTCGGCCGTGTTTGGCTTGGGACCTTCAGTACGAAGGAAGAAGCCGCCTGGCCGGAATTTCCGCCCTCGCAAGAGTTCGCCGCAGATTCAACAAGAAGATCTGTTTTTGTATCGCGACCTTGAATATGGCGAAGGAAGCCAGCTGACCTTGGATGTGGCGAAGGAAACCTTTAGGGAGGGATCGTCCTCATGTGGGAGATGGGGAAGTCCGTCAAATCTGTCCTGCAAAGTTGTGGAACGGCAAATTGAAAACACAAAGAGAAACAAAAAATAAAGCAAAACGAAAATTACCACATCATTCTTGCCACGTGTGTGGCCACGTGTGCAGCCATCTGCGCAGGTAACCGGGAAACCTGTTGGAGATATGTCAAAAAGCTCAATTGCATGTTTTTCAATAGTTTGGGGTGTAATTGGGAGTTTTCAAAGTATGAGGGTTTAATTGACTATTTTGGTATAATATAGGACTTATTTGATAGTTTTCTCATATATAAAATTTCTAATTCATTGTTCCAAAAGGTGGAATCTCCCACCCCAGGAGCCCCCACTCCCTGAGTCACGGTGACTCAGTCGACCCATTGTTGGTATGCCTTAATGTATCAAATTTATAACTTTTATACAAATATAATAATTAAAATGATTATCCAAAGTTTGCCATCATTGATCAATACAAGTCAATATGGCAAAGTTTTTCGGGCCAAAAGTAGTATCTTAAAATAGTTGATATTATTAAAAGTCATGTCAAAAGTACAAATTACTCTTCATCCATGAAAGATATTTTGTACTAGTAGGGTGCAGATCAAACAAAAGGGGTTTTAACGTGTAAAATGCGTAATTTTCACTTTTACAACACGTTTGTGCACTTTTCTGTCCAATTAGTGCACTTTTTCACATTTGTAAGAAAGCCCGCTTATTTACTAAATTGCCACCGTCATTTTAAAAAGTGTATTTTCTGCAAATGTGAGAAACTGCACTATCTAGTCTGAAAAGTGCACCCAAACGTTGTAAAAGTAAAAATTTCACAATTTACACGTTAAACTCCTTTTGTTTGATCTGCATTATTTGAATTTATTTTTCCTAAATTAAACTACATCAGATCAAACTGAAACTATACACAAATAGAAGTTTACCAATCAAATAATATCAAAATAGATCATACTCAAAACACAAAAAAATTGGTCAAGTGAAAAACGTTCTAGTTTTCTTTTGGGATAATTTGAGTTTGCAACCCACTTTATTGTGCAAATTGGACTTTGCACTCTGTTTTTAAAAAACTTTGTTTTTCCACCCCAATCTAATATGAAAAGACAAAATTGCCCCTCTATTCACAATTTTGTTGGCCTTCAACATGTTCATTATTGAGGGCATTTTTGTCTTTTCACACGGGGTTGGGGTGCAAAAACAAAGAGTTTTAAAAAAAGGGTGCAAAGTCCAATTTAGACAATAAAATGAGGTGCAAACTCAAATTACTCCTTTTCTTTTTTGCTGGACTTTTTAGTGTCTTGCAAAATCTGTTTAATGTTTAAGATCAAACTACCCTTCAAATTCTCTTGTTCTACTTAACATTTCAAATTCCAATGGTATGGTCTCATACCGTTCCAATTCTCTTGTTCGAATGAGAAATTGACGATTCCAATTCTGGTTGTATTAATTAGGGAAAACTGTCAAATAGGTCCTCGAACTTTCATAAAAAGGTCAATTAAGTCCTTCTATAAGAGGTTCTGTCCGGCCGTCGCGATTTGGGGCAGTTCCCGGTGGAATTTTTTGATGAAATTTTTTGAGCATCTTATTCACCAAGTCTAGTTTACTCATACCAAATTTCAGCTTAAAATTCAATCGGGAACACATTCAAATTAATTCTTGAAGATAACTACGCATTTTTGCGTTCTCGAATTAATTTGAATGCGCTCCCGATTAAATTTTTAGCTGAAATTTGGTATGAGTAAACTAGACTTGATGAATAAGATGTTAAAAAAATTTCATCAAAAAATTCCACCGGAAACCGCCCCAAATCGCGACGACCGGACAGAGTCTCCTATAGAAGGACTTAATTAACTTTTTTATGAAAGTTCGAGGACCTATTTGACAGTTTTCCCTATTAATTAATGTCTCAAACTCCTACTAAATAGTCCCAAGTAACAAGCGAAACATTATCAAATTAGCTGAAGAGAGAAGATTCCAAAGAAGAAGCAGCGACATGAAGAAGCGACGAATGACAGATGAGTGGCATCAGGAGGTGTCTAAAGACCGAAAGATCATCGAACTATCGAAGCCTCCTCGAAGGTATTGTCATTTTCTTTTTAAAAGTATATATACTACTTTTTTTACGGAAATCGGCTTAGATAAATAACCAATAAAAGTTCAGAATATGGATCAACTGACAAAGAGAAAAAAGATAATTGTCATCCCTTGAACCAGACTCGGAATTAATCGCCGTAACAATATAATTCGCTGATCCATAACCGGGAAACAATAAGCCTAATTAGGTTACCAGATTCTCCTCATCCCCCACATCCAAAACGAATGTCTTAAAAATCAAATAGCAAGACAGACATAACAATCAAAGAACAAACAAAACCAATAAAATAAATCTTCTTCAAAACCTTAGATTTGCTTGCACTCCATGGCAGCGGCTTAGGAGGGGGTCGCGCCCGTTGCTCACTCGCCACAACCTCACCATCAGACATGTCCCCGAAGCTTTCCATGCAAATTTGTTGCTTGAACCTTCTGCCAGCCCCTTGCCGCATCTCAAGGCTCCTTCGATCCACCCGCCTCGAAACAGCCGCCGTTTGTCTCATCACCGTATTCTACGGGCTAGACCTTCTTTGTGATCGAAACCCGCGATCGGAGAAACGAGGAACCCGGACAACATCTTCGACAATAGACAACATCTTCCAAACAATCCAAAAAGACATCTAACAAATAAAGACTTGGAGATACGGCGGAGAGCTGACAAACCCTAGGCCGCCTTGCTCTAGAGAGAGGGAACGATAACATTCTTAAAAGTATATATATACTATAGATTCAAATATTACTTAATGTTTTGAATAATGTTCAAAGTGTTATGAAGATTATAGACATTCTGAAGAACGCTCAAGCACATTTATGTATGACTAATTCAACTTAATTAATCTTAGCTTTAAATAAATCATAGACGGCAAAGAGACATCTGAAATTTAAGAGAGACCTACATGGAGAACTTCAAAGCAATTTTTTTTATGTTTAAAAAATTATTCATAATTCATGATTGCACATATGTATTTATATGCATAGCAAATTAAATTCTTTGTGTAAACATAAAATACATACGTGGTATCATTTTATAGAATAGGTAAACATTCCCTCACCTCATCGATCTGTACCTTATCTATATATAAAATCTCTAATTCATTGTTTCAAAAGGTGGAATCTCCCACCCCAGGAGCCCCCACTCCCTGACCTGACAGAATGGTGAAGCCGTGAAGGAGTAAGTCACGGTGACTCAGTCGACCCAATGTTGGTACGCCTTAATGTATCAAATTTATTACTTTTATACAAATATTATAATTAAAATGATTATCCAAAGTTTGTCATCATTGACCAATACAAGTCAATATGGCAAAGTTTTTCGGGCCAAAAGTAGTATCTTAACAAAAGGGGTCAATACAAGATAATATTAAAAGTCATTTCAAAAGTACAAATTACTCTTCATTCATGAAAGATATTTTGTACTAGTAGGGTGCAGATCAAACAAAAGGGGTCTTAACGTGTAAAATGCGTAATTTTCACTTTTACAACACGTTTGTGCACTTTTCTGTCCAATTAGTGCACTTTTTCACATTTGTAAGAAAGCCCGCTTATTTACTAAATTGTAACCGTCATTTTAAAAAGTGTATTTTCTGCAAATGTGAGAAAGTGCACTATCTGATCTAAAAAGTGCACCCAAACGTTGTACAAGTGAAAATTTCACAATTTACACGTTAAACCCCTTTTGTTTGATCTGCATTATTTGAATTTATTTTCCCCAAACTAAACTACATCAGATCAAACTGAAACTATACACAAATAGAAGTTTACCAATCAAATCGTATCAAAATAGATCATACTCAAAACACAAAAAAAATGGTCAAGTAAAAAACGTTCTAGTTTTCTTTTTGGCTGGACTTTCTAGTGTCTTGCAAAATCTGTTCAATGTTTAAGATCAAACTACGCTTCAAATTCTCTTGTTCTACTTAACATTTCAAATTCCAATGGTATGGTCTCATACCGTTCCAATTCTCTTGTTCGAATGAGAAATTGACGATTCCAATTCTGGTTGTATTAATTAATGTCTCAAACTCCTACTAAGAGTCCGTTTGGTAGCACCAAAATCGGCTGTTTAGGCTGATTCTGCTGAAATTTATGATATTCTGGCTGGAGTGGCTGTTTTGGCTGATTCTGCTGATTTAAGAAAAAAATATTTTAAAAATATATTTTATTAATAAATTAAAGAAAAAATTATATGTAAAAATAGCTAAAATGGTCCTCTACCGTAACTTCAGCCAATACAGCCAGAAAAGTAACTCCAACCTTACTTTTTCGGCTTATTACACAATTCAGCGCGCGAAAGTAAAAGTTACGTGTTTGGTGAAAAAGCTGGCTGATAAGCCTGATAAACCGAAAATAGAGTTCTCCAAACGGGCTCTAAATAGTCCCAAGTAACAAGCGAAACATTATCAAATTAGCTGAAGAGAGAAGATTCCAAAGAAGAAGCAGCGACATGAAAAAGCGACGAATGACAGATGAGTGGCATCAGGGGGAGATTTACCTTAATAGGATCAAAACATGGCTTTTTTCTCAAAATAGGAGTACCTAGTTTAAACATCCTTAAATAGGACTTTTTATTAGTGATTGGACCAAAATACCCCTCACAACCTTTACCACTGCTGCCCAGGGACTGCCGGACCGCCGCCTGCCGCCGCCGCCGCCGCCGCCGGAGCTCCGGCGACCGCCGCCGGAAAAATTCCAGATTTTTTTTCTGGAGGTTTGCCAACATTCTGCCGCCACCTGCCGCCGGCCGCCGCCGGCCGCCGCCGCCGCCGCCGGAAACCGCCTCTTTCACTGCCGCCAACCTGCCGCCACCTCCGGACTGCCCCGCTACCAACGGACTGCCTTGGTTGTGCAAGAGAACTAGGGGGGCAATTAATTGGGTTAATTAATTGCCGGAGTTGCCGCCGCCGCCGCCGGAATCCGCCGCCGGCCGCTGCCGGAGTGCTGCCGCCACCACGGACTGCCCCGCCACCGACGGACTGCCTTGGTTGTGCAAGGAAACTAGGGGGGGGGGGGGGCAATTATTTAGATTAATTAATTAATTAAATAGAATTAGGGGTAAAAAAGGTAAGGTTAGTCCTATTTAGAGAAAAACATGCATGTGGTCCTATTTTGAGAAAAAGGTTGAGTTTTAGTCCTATCTTGGACAATTTTCTCGGCATCAGGAGGTGTCGAAAGACCGAAAGATCATCGAACTATCGAAGCCTCCTCGAAGGTATTGTCATTTTCTTTTTAAAGTATACTATAGATTCAAATATATTACTTAATGTTTTGAATAATGTTCTAGCACATTTAGGTAGGACTAATTCAACTTAATTAATCTTAGCTTTAAATAAATCATAGACGGCAAAGAGACATCTAAAATTTAAGAGACAACTACATGGAGAACTTTAAAGCAATTTTTTTTATGTTAAAAAAATTATTCATTATTCATGATGGCACATATGTATTTATATGTATAGCAAATTAAATTCTTTGTGTAAACATAAAATACATACGTGGTATCAAGATTCTACGGTACCCATAAGGTACCATACCTTTGTTCACATGGACCAATGAGAATGTTGCAGTTGGATTATTTAAATCTAAATTAAAAATGATAAAATGATGTGCTCCAATCAAATGAATGGTAGGTACGGTACCCCATTTTTTAAAAGGTACCGGAGTTGTCACATCTATATAATAGGTAAAACTCGAACTCGAATCAAGCCATAAATTTCCGACTTGACTGGATCTCGACTCGAACTTGGTCTTTCTTTATCAAGCCTGACTCGATTTAAGCCAAACTTGAGCTTGACTCGCTCAATTAGCAAAGCTAATTATCTAATTTCAATTTTCCTGATGAAAGAAGAAAATTGAAGGTAGATTATACAAAGTATGATTTTAGATAATGGAATTCGGGTAATGATTATACATTTATCATGGCATTATTATACTTGATTGTTTTTAACCACACATAAAAATGATAAAATTCGGAGGCAAACATAGTATATGAAAAAATGTTACTCTGTTATACCTTATTACTTCAATATTGCTAAATTAATACACATGATAAAAATGTGTCTACTTTTTAAATATTCTAAATAGTGACTATATATGTTACTTTTAATTTGTCACTGCCATTAATTTTAATGTCTTACTTCCGCAGTCATTATTGGTGACACGCCACCAACATCAATTACATAATTCCACTTGTCATTTACAAGTTATTTAGTCACTTATTTGGAAAAGAAATTTGTAGTATATTTATCATGACAAACTCTATAAGTAATGTTTTTATCATTCTTTTATGAAGTTAACTTTCATTCCAAATTTGATGAACGATCCATAAATGATGCATCTCCTCCTTGAAAGCTCCCAATGCATTTCTTAAAATTAATTTTTAACCATAGCCTTAGAGGCAGTGGTTATCATTTGTCTAGAACACACTCATATTGTTTGTTTGAAAGATGGATTTTATGGGTTTCTTATTTTGTGTATATGATGATGTAGAAATAGGGTGATCTGGTTAATTGGTTATGAACTTGTTGAGTATTCAGATGTCTGAACTCATAGGATCAAATTTTGAACATCTTATTCCTGTCAACTTCAAGCAGGGTTGACCATCAACCACTGAATGGTTTGGTTGCTCAGGCACTTGCACCTTCTTCATCCAACATAAACACTGCAGGACAGGTTCTTCCCATACAGAAAAAGCCCACAAGAAACTTCCAAACTAATTTTCCTTCCAAAGTTTGCACTTTTTATGTTCCTGAGCAGAATTCTCTCGGAGGACGTGTCATGACATTAGCTCTGGACAAAGCGGCTAAGACAAATGATGATCTCTGTCTGTGTACACACGTGGCCTCCGCTCTCAGTGTCTTTCTTCCCTATATTAAGAACGAGTTGGCCAATGCTCTCTTTCAGATAGGTGTATCTCCTGAGTATGTTTCTATCCCCTCCAGAGCCGCTGAACATTCGATTAACTTCGACTCCATCCCTGCGTCCGATTGGTCAACTATTCTTGCTCGTGGGGCATTTGTCATATTAACACTTTTCAAAACAGTTTCTCCAGCCCACTACACCCAATGTATGATAAAGAGGTTTGAGGCACTAAAAAGGCTTGCATGTTGCTGCCCTAATGCTGAAATCCCTATGCCTCTAAACCAGTCCAAGGCTAACTCCCTGCGTACAATGCTAGGATCAAACCGAGCACTCATGAAGAGGATCGTCGAACTGGTTCTTGATTTCATGTCAGATGATAACTTGCATTCAGTCTTCTTGTATGTAGCTAATATCCTGGCCCGCAACGTCAGTGATGATTTCACATTCATATATGATACATTTGTGAAAGATGAATCGCCTGTGCTGACTGACCCCAGAGTGGAACATGAGGTTATAAAACTAAAAGAGGCTGTCAAATTTGTTAAACATCCGTATTACCCGCAGTTTGCTCGTTACCTGGCTTTCCCTGATGACTCATTCAAGCTGCACGGGTCTCGATTCCCTATTTTGATGTCTGTTGCAAAGAAGTTCAAGGCCGAGGAGCAGCAATCCTCGGTGGCGGGTAATCGCTACCAATGTGTTCCAGCCCGGTCTGTTGCTGTTGATAATGACCTTGTCAAGGACCTGTGTCAGATTCATGCTGCTGCCATGGAAGAGAAATTTCTAAGGGCCTATAAATTCTTGACCAATACGTAAGGTTGTTTTTGATGCCTTGATGGTGTCCAAGACTAGCATCCAAGTTGAGTTTCAGGGAAATTTTTGATTGATTTTGAAGTGTTTTGGAAGTTTTGCTTTTGGCATTCATATCGTCATCCCAATGTACACATATTTTTGCAGTCGTGGATTATTTTATATTTTACATTGAATTGTGCACCATGAAAGCCTTTTAGCCTTTTATTGCAACATCATCGAATTCAACTGAAATATATTTTCATTTCTTAACATAGTTTATTCATGTATGTGTAATTTACAATGTCTTTGTTTGGTTGCATGAAAACCAATGCGAATAACGGACATTTTATTTCGTGACACTACTAGAAAAATGGTCTATAGTGACACTAATTAAGTGTCACAAAAAGTTTTTCTGACACTAGAAAAGTGTCAAAGAAGGTCGGGAATTATGACACTAAATTTAGTGTCACAGAGAAAGTGTCAGTAAATAATGACACTTTTATATCATGAAGCTTAACGACAATAAACCATCACATACTTTAATGATACTATATAGTATCATAGAACTTTTTGACACCATGATATCATAAAAGCGTATGATACGTCAATATATACACATACAATTCCAGTAATAAGATTAAACTGTATCGTCTCATAATAATAAAAAACTTACTGATATTAATAAATTCATCCCTAATAAATAAAATATTAAACATAAATATTCATATTGAATCAATTTTTCACAAAAAATATTCTAAAATTACAACATCAATAACTTATGCTAAACATCTAAAATTCATCAACATCAAAGTTAGACAATTCTAAACATCCAACTAACATAACCAAATTAACTAAAAAAAATGTAACACTCCGGCCTCCAACTAAAAATAACCGTGCCACCCTTCTGCTTCTTTGGAAGAAAATTATTATAACCTGTATCCTGAAATCAATGAAACATAATCGAACCCCAGAATATGTCAGTCAAACAAAATTAAGTTACGTATAAAAGTTAAAAGATATGATTAAAGAATTTGGTGTACAGAAAATTTAAGAAAAAACACAAATCTTAATGAGTTATTTCGTTTCAGTGTATGACAGTGAGGAATTCCCAAGTTCAAAATTTCTTCTTGCTTCAACCATGGCTCTAGTGACCTACACAAAGACCAAAAAGGAATTAAGATGTCAGCACTCAACAGGCACTTTCTTCTTGCTTATCCCTATTACTCTAATTAAAAGTTTGATAAAAAATTGTGTATTAAGTTAAATCCACTTGTAGAGATCATAACAGGATCAATCACCAATACTGTTGTAACGAATTCGCTGATTCAACTCAAATGCAGATAAAGTTAAACCAAGAAAACAAGATTACTGCATTAAGTGAAACTCTAAAGGGAAACTCCTTAAGAGACTGACAGAGGACCTTGACTATGCCAGGAGAAGGAAGCACGCCTGTTTTCACCTTAGCTGCTCCGCCAAGATATCCTTCGGCACAATGTGCACACCCTGAACTCCAACGGTGTTCTGAGCAGTAACAGCAGTGATCACAGTGCAACAATAGACTCCGGCACCAGTCCCTGAGGTTCGCTTGAATTCCGGCACCAGTCAACTGCATATAGTATATATGCCAAAAAACATAACCATTCAGGTGCGTACTGGTCTGAATATTGTGTATAGAATCCGTATAATAATGTATACCTATAATATATTACTTCGAATATGAATAGCTGAAAATAGAACATCATACCATGAATATAAAAAAAATACAAAACGTAATATTATAAACTAATAAAAAAAATTAACAAATACTACTATTAACTAAGCATTAGAGTGGACTTTACTACAACTTTGCTATCCATTAATGTCTTGATTGTTTTTCTTTTTCTCTATCTCACTAGAAATTTTATTCTAATAAAAATTAGTTGTGATGGAAGGAATTTCGAACCTTGGGTAAACAAATGCTACCGCTTAATCATACTTAAAGGCGACTCAAAAGCAGTTAAAGATAATCTTTGTGCTACAAAAATGGGTTCCCATCCAACTTTGCCTTCTATATCACAATACCCAAAGCAAATTAAACTGGAACAGTCGCATCAACACGATAACAATAAAATAGAAGTATTAAAATACAACCATAGAAGTATATGCACTAATATCATAAAAAATCATATTAATCTGTTGGGAAATATAACCATATAAGTTAAAAGTATTAATAACTCAGTAGTTTCGGTTGCAGTTAGACACTACATTAGAGTAAATAAAATTTACCTCCATATTTATTTATCTTTTGTAAGGCTACAATAGATAATATAGTTTACTTGAAGAGCTACCTGAAAATAAGCCTGAAAAAATCGCAATAATCAACAATTAGGTAAATGTGAGAACTCCCATAGTTATTGTCTTCTCATCCCTAAATTTTCACCATGGCTTGGAAGGAAAGGCAATTAGCCAATCAACTCGTTGAATCTACCCAGGCTCATACTTATTCACATGCTTTTCCAAGCTCTCAATTCCCCGCGTTCCTTCTCAGGATCCTGCTGGAGTCAAGTTATGGTTATACCTTAAGTGAATATAACAGTCAAGAAAGTTCATCAATTTATGAGAAAAAACTGAAATATAGACAAATAAGATTGGTGGAAACCTTCCCTGGAGTCATTGTATGGATAAACTCATGTATCTCATTAATTACCAGACCAATAACCTGTGTTTTTGCTTGTTTTCAGTTTTTGTGTGTGTTAAAAAGATGTATAGTAGCCCACAAGTAACTCCCTCACTCTTTTCACATGAAACATCCTGAACCTGCAATATAAGAGTATAAGTTCATTATACACAACTAAGCAAAAGTTGGTACAACTGTCATCTTATCGTACATGATAACTAAACAAAATATTGCTACAACTACAGGTTCTTTGATATATAACTTGCTGCAGAATTTTGAAACAATACTTCTGAACACTTGTATTCTAAAGAGGAAGTATCTATTAATATTTGTATAGAGCCATAGGCTATATAAAATAATATGTTTCGCCACACTCTCTTTATCCTTGAAGTGAATAAACTTATTATAACACTTTAGACTACTTTGGGTAGGATAACTTATAAATTAAAAATAGCAGCTTGTCATACCAGGATCTTTTTACAATAAGAAATGCAGATAGAAGGAATTATCTTATAGAGGTTTTTAAATAAACAGTTTCAAGAATGAGGAAAAGCCGCCACTAGCCGATTCCTTTAACTCGTTTGCTACCAGAAGGGTAAAGCCCGGACAATTAGTGAGCAAGAGTATAAGTGGCTTTGATCTCAACCATAGCAAGGACAAACCTGCTAAGCCTCCAAGAAGGATGTCTAACCCCTCCATCTCAGGTGGCAGTCCAGCTGCTTCAGCACAAGCTGGAAACATCACCCCAAGAAGGATGTTTAACATTCACTTTACATTGTTAATGAATGTGTGCGGACTTGGAACACCATAAACATTCACATTAACACACGAGCCTCTGATTTTGCAGGGTATATAACTCCTAAATCTATCTTGCTCTGTTCTGTCCCAAATCTGCGATCTTAGGCTACATGATTGAGAAAGAGTACTTGTTCATTTTTACTGAGGCATTTTTACAAACAGTTAGTAGACATTATACTAGAAACATAAGAGCTGAGAATAGACATTTCCATTTTCTATCAAACTAAAAGAAATTAAAAAACCCAAGAAATACACAAATCTAGAGAAAAAGTATATAACATGTAAAAAAACATTTTTACATAAGAATTAAGTTCAGAATTTCAGTTGAGATGGTCTAGAGATGCGATTTTCAATTTTTAAGGAGGTAGCGATATAAATGATAAGCTAGAGATCGAGTACCTTACGGCTAGTGTCTCCGTTCATTGACCGAAAATCGCAAGGAGAAGAGAGGACTCACCAGTCACCAACTCGATCCGTCAATCAGCGAAGGCAGGGGCGAGCTCGAGAGGAACTGAGGTCGTAGGTAGTGCCGGCGAAGGGGGAACGATCGACATCCAGTCGTCCAGGCGGCCAGTTGTGCGACCGGTGGATGAATGGCGATGAGTTCATCCGTCTGGACGACTCAGGGGGCTAGGTCACAATGGAGGAGAGCTTGTGTGTCTTGACTCTTGAAGTGAATGAGAGATGCACAGGTTTACACGTATATATGTATAAGTGTTTCTGAAATTTTAAAAAATATAAAAATTAATTAAAATCTGTGTTGAACTGTCACTTTGTAAGTTGATATAATAGTGTCACAAATTACTGATATAAAAGTGTCATAAAGGTGTTTATGTCATTATAGTGTCACAGGCAAAGTGTCACTATAAGACATTTTTCTAGTAGTGTGACTAATTTTCCTGCAGCTGAACATTTCTTATGTATGCTCGAGATTTCTTGCTTTGAAAGTTGAAACTTCCTTTTGCTTTCAACGAGCATTCTCGCTATTGTCTGTGTGAAGGATTTCAAACGAGTACAACTTTGTATTCACAAGACATTGAGTATTTGTAACCTTTTCATTTTTCATTTCCACTTTTAATATAATTCACAATGTAGTACTTGTATGTAAATTTGCGTAATACTTCGTAATTTTTTCATCAAATGTAAATAATTTATATTATGAGAAACATAAAAAAGATGTGGTCATAATGGTGTATTTAGGTTTACTTTTAGTCCTATATAAGACAATTACTATTTCGTCATTTCGATTTTTACACATTTTATAAAAATAATTTCGATAGGAGAAGTGAACAATGATAACCCTTTCATTAAAAATGTACCTCAAGAAGTTGGTGTTAAATTTCCGCTATGTTGATGTGTTTTTGTGACTCTCAAGAAGTTGAAATAATTTACTTATAACTTTACAAACTTGTGATTATTGGTGTCTGATTCTCACAGTTTTTTAATAAATAAAGAGTCAAAACAAGTGTTACATAAACATAAAATATACATTAAAATAAATTAGTAATCTGATTCATCCGTTTTAAATTATATATTAAGAGATGAAATTATGAAATAGTTCTCTATTATATATAATGAATGAAAAAGATTGAAAATGTTGAAATATTGATGCGAAGTAAAAGTATTAAATAGAATCTTATGAGTATTTATTTGTTCATACTTCATACACATATGCTGCCGAGTATTGTGTAGGACAAATATTTTATACAACAACAATAACATTACCCCAACTGTTTTAGCAAAATTTTGACAAGCTAAAACTAATCAAGAAGAAGATTATATGTA